CTCGTATCTTGTAGCTACACACCGAACCCCGAGAGTCACGATTGCTCGCAACTAAGCCGTCAAATGTCAAAAAGTTAAAATTTGTGCGAATATCATTGCTGTTGCACTCCCTTAAAAAAAAATTAAATCCTAAAGAAAGAGTGTCTCCCCTCTAATGGTCAACCCTGAGCCAACAGTGGAAACTCCACCTTCCCATGGCAGGAGACACTTTTCAACACAGAGCAGCCACCGGTTGATGTCTCACGAATCAGTAACTTATCTTAGCGATGCCATAGAATTGATGATGATCATGAAATCAGCTCATGTTCCCCGAACGTGTCATACTAACGTGTCATATAAACCCAGTCCAACGAAGGACGCCACTCGAACCAGAGCCGAGACTAAAAGACGAACGGACGCAAGGAACCGCCCCGTGCGGAGGCATTGGCGACCTTCGCCCGCAATTCGCGACGGTCCGAAACGGGCGGAGCACAGGCGGGCGGGCGGGCGGGTCCCACCGCTCGTATGCGCTCCGTACAAATCTGTACAAACCGCTTGGCACGCCAGAACCCGCTCGTTCATTTAAGCGCCTCTAATGGCTCGAGTAAATCGCTGAGTCGTTTCGGTGACGGCGCTTAATTGCCCCGTCACCGCGAGAACGATCCCCCCCCCCCCTCCCCAGGCGCGAGCGACTGCCAGCGGCGGGGTCGAAATTGGCGCAGCGATAGATTTTGCCCCCCCGCCCCCCACTCCTCGATCCAGGAGAGAGAGAAAATTGTTTGGCCCCGGATCAAAACAATTCAAAAAGTGTTTAGCTCGTTTCGTCCGATACGCTGGTTGGCGGTGCGCTACGTCCATCATCTCTCGCTCGCTCGCTCCCTTCCACCGGCAGAAGAAAAGAACAAACACGTAGATTTATTTTAAGTAAATGCTTTGTGATAGGCGCGCGTCAGTGTTTTGGTAACTGAAGCGGAATTGATTTATTTATTTGTAAGAGAACTATTATTTATTTTGACCGCCAGAGCCGGCGTCCGAGGAGTCGCGGCAGCACGCGACACGGAGCACAACTGCTGGCGTGGGGTGCAGCCGCGCCGGGCTTCGATTTCCGCCCCCCACTCAGCCATCCCCCCACTCAGCCCCCCCCCCACTCAGCCATCCCCCCACTCAGCCATCCCCCCACTCAGCCATCCCCCCACTCAGCCCCCCCCCACTCAGCCATCCCCCCACTCAGCCATCCCCCCACTCAGCCATCCCCCCACTCAGCCCCCCCCCACTCAGCCATCCCCCCACTCAGCCCCCCCCCCCACTCAGCCATCCCCCCACTCAGCCATCCCCCCACTCAGCCATCCCCCCCCACTCAGCCATCTCCCCTCTCAGCCGCCCCCCCACTCAGCCCCGCCCCTCCACTCAGCCATCCCCCCACTCAGCCCCCCCCACTCAGCCCCCCCCCACTCAGCCGCCCCCCCACTCAGCCGCCCCCTACTCAGCCCCCCCCCCCCCCCCCCACTCAGCCGCCCCCCACCCCCCCTGACGGATTCCCCCAGTGTGCTAACTGGCGGGCAGTTTTTATGAAGCGATTGACACTTTACACAAAGTCAACAGTGGGAATTATTATGCTTGGACTGCTCCCTGTCATAGGAATGTGGACTTTCCACTAATGGCTCGGGTCCACTGGCGAACGTCCCCTTTGGCTTGAGCAGGGAGGTGTGCATTTTGACTGGTTTCGTGAAATAACAATGCGACCCTTAGTTCCCTTACAGACAACAAGGTAATCTCCCCTACAGACAGACACATCAAACAAAATACCACGGCACACAAAAGACAGTGAACAAAACAATATCACAAATTATTTTAAAAAATATATACATTCTACGATCCCGCGCTGTACAACAACGTGGAGTCTGAAATCACAAAGGAAGTTACTGCAGCCACCAAAAATAACTGCCTCGGATACAGCGATCACCATCACCACCACCACAACCACAACGAAAGCAACAGGCGCATCGCGCATTCTGACAACGAGCAAGCGGTAATGACGGACGACAAACAACATCGTCATCATCATCATCGATGTCCACAGCAGAAATTACGACTCAACTTGGCTCCCGCCGAGCTCGCGTTTCATCGCCATCAGCGGAAACTCAAGAGGCATTATGGGAATATTATCCATAATTAATTTAATCCGGTCCCGTGCGTCTTTACTTTAGACGCGAGCCGCTGCCGACGCTGATGCGGCCTCCCGGGCCGGGTAATTTGGGCTTCAGGACGGCGCCTTAAAGAGCTTTGCTTGCGGTTTGCGAAACGAGAGACTCCCTCGCTGGCTCCCTCGCTGCTCCCCCCCCCCCCAACGCACTGGCTCCCTCACTGGCTCGCTCGCTGCTCCCCCAACGCACTCGCTCCCTCGCTGGCTCGCTGCTCCCTTTGCAAGCCAAGCGACGGCAATCCCACGGGGGAGGGGGGGGGGGAGCCGCCACTCATTCCCGAGCCGCCGCTGCGCCAGCATTCGACAAAACCCGGCGGGGGGGAAGGGGGGGAACGAGCGCAGAGTTTGTTGGTCCGCATTGGGGGAGGCCACCACCGAGGTGGTCTAACGGCGGGCAGCTGCCGGTTCGACTTCATCTCCCGGTCGTGGCAGACGAAACACGGGCGCGAGTTTTGGTCACTCCCTACACCCCCTCCCCCCACTCCTCACCAACGCCTCCGTCTACCCAGTAGCGTTACATGAGTTAGGCCAGTTTGCCGGTCGGCGGGTGTGCGGGGTAAAGTGCGCGTGCTTCCATCTCTTGCAAGACGTACCGGCCAGCGTTGAATAAAAGTAGGCCAAATACGCTGGAGAACGACTCTCCAGAGTTCTGTTAAGTTGGAGGGCCTTCCGCCAAGCAGCGAGGTGAGCGAGACATTGCAGCGTCAAGCCTCCACCTCTGGTTAAGTGGGCGAAGGTTTTCCGATGGACCACTTGGGGCATAATCACGAAAAGCCATTTCCCGAGTCGCTAGCGCTGCGGTTGCTGCGTTAGGGACGTACAGGATGAGAATGGATTTTATTCATTTGATGGATAGCGCCGCTGGGTTTTACGTATTATTTTTTCACGGTGATATTTTGATTAAGGGGAAATGCCGCTCAGACCGAATATTAATTCCTGGGAGACGTTTGGGGAGTTTGGCCCCTCTTGAAGTGTCAGCAGCTGCTCGATCGCTCGAGGGGTTCCGAGTCGCGGGAGATTAATTTTGACATTCGGTCCGGACTAATGACACCGTGCCACGGACGGCAGGGTGAGCGGTCGTCCCGGAGAGACCACGGAAAATCTCGCTTGACATCAGCGGTGCCAACCATTCTGCCACTCGGCTAAACCGGAAATCACGACCGACGAATCACACACCGCACCGCTGAAAGAGAGACAGTTAAACTAAACATTTTATTTTATTTTTCCAGGTAAGGCCCACACTGAGCTACGTAGCTCTTTTTTCAGAAGCGACCTGGCTATCACAAATGACAGCTCAACGAAGTGGCTTATCGCGTGGACATTTATAGCAGCCAAATACTCTAAACGCGCGTTTCTAAATGTGGAGGAAAAAACTGGAGGACCCAGAGAAAAATCCACACGACCACGGAGAGAAAGAGACACGCAAACTCCACATACAGCAGGCGTCATGGTCGGGATCGTACCTACGACCTCCTCCACATCAGGCGAGGTAGTTAACATCTCCCCACTACGGCACCACCAGCTCGCCCTCCTCGGCTCCAGAGAGTCAGAGAATCGTCACAACTCGCTGAGCGCGAAGCGGCCAGGCCGACTGATGATCCAGCGCTCACGAATTCACTCTGGTCACTCGCTCACTTGTCGGCAATCAATCGCCTCCATATCACTCTTCTATCGCTACTGTTACTATCAAACCCAGATGGAAGATCAAACCCAGATCCACTACTATGGTTACTGTTCCCGTATAAACGCTGCTCGTTCATTCCTCCTCCACCACCCGTGCTGAGGACTGTGCCTGCCAGAAGCTGACTGCGTCGTCTCATCCACCACACGGTGTTCAACCACCACATTGCAGGTCACAACAACTCACTCACTCACTCACCCATTCACTAACCCACCTACCCACTCATTTACCCACCCACTCGCCACAATGCACGTCACCTCACTTCTCTCTCTCTCTGCTTCTTCCCTTGCACTGCTGCAGTCTGTGGAGTTCCCTCTCCCATCACCGGCATCTCTTCTCCCCACCCAAGCTCTTGCAACGAGAACCTTGCTCAATCCAAGAAATGCGCTGCGACACTCCTACCCATCACAACTTCGCCACTAGATATATATCTATCTCTAAAATAGAGATAGATATATATCTAGAATAGACATATCGAGAACAGAGATATATTGTTGGCGACCTCTCGACGTTTTGGGCCGAGTGGGGGCCGTGCTCAGCAACCGCGCTGAGAGAACAAAATCACGGCCGCGGTGTTTTGATCCACGAATCGATTTTTTTTTTGCTTTTGTAAATCTCGTTGGCAATGCTTTGTCCCCCCCCTCCCCCGCATATCATTTACATAAATCTCAGAGTAATCAATAACGCACACGCGTGATTGGACGCACGCGGCATCATTGCGCAGACCTATTGTAATCAAAACCATAGTTCATACCTTGGGGCCGTTCCTAGGGAGAGAGGGAGGATTGGTGGGGGTCACATCCAGGGGTCAAGGGAGAGGCACTGGACAGATGGACGGGGAGGCAAGGCTTTCTCCATGCCTCCCACTCCCCGCTCCCTCTGTCTCACTCCACCCCCCACCCACCATAATATTTAGCGATAAAAAGCTGTGAGACACGGAGATGCCGTGGGTGATGATGATTACAATGGTGGGTGATGTTGATGAGTGGTGATGGTGGGTGATGGTGATGGGTGGTGATGGTGATGGGTGGTGATGGTGGGTTACGGTGGCTGATGATGAAGGGCGATGGCAGGAGAGTGAATGCAGGTGGTGACAGAGGCAATTTAGCTCAACCTGCGTGCCGCGTGCCCACTCACCCTGCATGTTGAACTTGGAGCGCCGCGCGTATTTGCTGCTGAAGACGCAGAGCAGAGTGAGCATCGCGCACGCAAACGCAGCCACCCCGACCGCCACGTACGCCTGGGGTCCCGGGCAGGGGTATGAGTCCAGGGGTAGAGGGGTAGACATGCAGGGGTAGAGATCCAGTGATAGAAATCCAGGGGTAGGGTTAGAGACAGGGGTACGGTTAGAGACAGCGGTAGGGTTAGAGACAGGGGTAAGGGACAGGGGTAAGAGGCAGAGATCCGGGGATAGGAATCCACAAGGGGTCCAGTGGGGATCAGTGGCATCAGGGGAGGAGGAGCAGCAGCAGGAGGAGGTAGCGAGACAGAAGGTGGTGGAGATCAGAATAAAATAAATGACTCGGATCAATGAACACAATTTACGCTTTAATGACTGTGGGCGGTGTCCATGTGTTTTGCTGGCCCGGACACAGTGGTGGAAATTCCACATTCCCATTACAGGGGTCAGTCTAACTGCGAGTAACTTCCCACAAATGATGATGATCAAGATTGAAACATAATTACGATGATGATCAAGATGATGTTTGATGGGCCAGCAGAATTCTAACTTTCAAACGTTTCATTAACCCAGTCAAACGAGTATCTCTACAGTGCGTCATAGCTTAGGCCATTGTGTGCCAACACCACGGTGAAAATTTGCCAAATGTGAGACGGACTCACCGCCACGCTGTCGACCACACGCCCCGTCACCGCCGGGGGTCCCGTGCTGTTGCTGTCGGGGCCCTCTGCGGAGGCAGGGTCAGAGTTAGAGTCCGCACCCAGATATGTCGTGCATCATGCAGTATGTGCGTCTGGTGCATATCGTCGCTCGCAAGTCACGGTGGTGAGATGTTAAATACCTCGCCCGATATACAGGAGGTCGATGGTTCTATTACAACCATGATGCCTGCTGTATATTTAGATTTTGCATGTTCTCCCTGTGGTCGCGTGGATTTTTCTACGGGGTCCTCCGCGTTTTCCCTCCGCATTCAGAATCACCGTGCTTTTCGAGTATTTTGGCTGCGATACATTTCCACACGATAAGGCACCTCGTTGAACTATCATTTGTGATAGCCAGGTCGCTTCTGAAAATCAGCTGTATAGCTCAGTCGGCCTTCCCTTGTGAAGTAAAAATAGGTAAGAGTTTGTAGTTTAGTCACCCGGCGAGTGAGCGATATAAATCCATGACGCTGGTTCACTTCTAGAAGGACTGCAGAGCGCCGATGCAGTTCCAACAAGGTCGAGTCGAGCTGTGTACCAGGCGTGTACCAGGCGTGTACCAGGCATGTACCAGGTCGTGTCCTGCAGTGTACCAGAAGTGTACCAGGCGTGGACCAGGTCGTGTTCAGAAGTGTACCAGCAATGTACCAGGTGGAGTCTAGGAGTGTACCAGGTGGAGTCTAGGAGTGTACCAGGTTGAGTCTAGGAGTGTACCAGGTGGAGTCTGGGAGTGTACTAGCAGTGTACCAGGTGGAGTCTAGGAGTGTACCAGGTGGAGTCTAGGAGTGTACCAGGTGGAGTCTAGGAGTGTACCAGGTTGAGTCTAGGAGTGTCCCAGGACAATATGAGAAGCCACTCTTTGGATTTCGGCCTCTAAACAAAATTAAAAAAAGAGGCGGAAAAACTTTCGTCGCAAAAGAAAAGCTCAACTTGTTTGTTGATAGCAACGCGTGTGTATGGTCTGAACGGGGAAATGTGAATAATGGGCGACGTTTTGGACAGAGAGCTAGGGTGAGGGCCTCTCTATTCATGTGCCATGAAAAAGAGCCATTGCCCGAAACGTCGCCTATCGTAAATATGTTTAATTTATTTTAAGGCCATACAGTCTTATTGATTAACGTTGTTGTTTGGCCTTCGTGCTTGTTCAGCGCAACCAACGACCCAGCCCAGCTCGTTGCCCACGTTAGATTCTTGCACTTTGTTGGGAAGAGCGTGACCCTACAGGGCATGACCCCATAGAGTGTGACCCCATAGAGTGTGATCCCATAGAGTGTGACCCCATAGAGTGTGACCCTACAGGGCATGACCCCATAGAGTGTGACCCTAAAGAGTGTGGGAGGGGTGATGGTAATACAGGGGGGGGGGGGGGTGATGGTAACACGGGGGGGACGGGGGGGGGGAATGGTAACATACAGGGGGGACGGGGCTGTGAGCAGGCGCCCACCTGGGTAAGGGTCGTAGAAGTGTTCGTCTTCCTCGGGACCTGCGGGAGGCAGAGCAGTGAAGGTTTTCTCAGCGATGATGATGATGACAATAACCACGATGGTGGTGGCGATGATGTTGATGATGGTGGTGGTGATGATGAAGTTGGCACAGTAGGGGGTATAGGTGGTGCATCGTCCAGTCATCTCACTCAGTCGACCCATGGCACCTGCAGGCTCTGCCCCGTGACCTCCTGCCGGCGGGCGTTCGACACTTCACATGGCCTCTACGTGCACCTAGCCTGGCACAAGCGCCGTGGCCACGTCACCGCCACTTAGTGGCGACTGGCACTCGTTGTTGTTGGTGGTGATGATAGTGGTGATTACGGTGATTGACGCTCGCAATCTCAACGAGTGCTCGGCAACCTCCAGCCCTGGAGCCGCACGCTCTTCTACTTCTACTACTACTTCTTCTTTCAGGAACCACCGTATCGTAGTCACCACGCTGCATTGCGCGGCTCTTCAAATATCGAAGTTTTTTATGTTTCACCAAATTAAAAAAAAAACGGCTCCTCCTTGTTAATAACAACCACAACAACAACCACAACAACAACAAGCACAACAACCACAACAAGAACCACATCAACAACAACAACCACAACAACAACCACAACAACAACAACCACATCAACAACAACTACAACAACTACAACCACAACAACCACAACAACCACATCAACAACCACAACAACAACAACAACCACATCAACAACAACTACAACAACTACAACCACAACAACCACAACAACCACATCAACAACAACAACCACAACAACCACATCAACAACCACAACAACAACCACAACAACAACCAAATCAACAACCACGTGGTCACGCGGCCACTCGCCCGCCCGCCCGCCCGCTCGCCCGGCGATCACCTATCCCGTGGGGGCGATCCTGGAAGTGGCAGGCGACGGTGCGCTCGTCCCAGCCCAGCTCGCTGCTGACCCTCAGCGTGTAGTTGCCGTTGTCGATGTGCGTCGCCGCGTCCAGGTGGAGGCAGCCGGGCCGCCGCGAGGCCCCCGCGTGGCCCAGGAGGCGCGTGAAGACGAGCGGCGACTCGGCCAGCGGCTCGCCGTTCTTGCTCCACGCGAGGCTGGGCCAGGGGTTGCCGCGCGCCACGAACGGCACGCACCAGTGGTGGTGCCGCTCGGGGTCCTCCATCGACACGATCGACGGGGGGACTGCGGGGGGGGGGGGGGGCAAGGAGACAGCGGTGGCGGCGGTGGGGAGTGGTGGCGTAGTGGTTAGCGCGCTCCGTTACGGAACCCGGCGACCCGGGGTTCGATTCACGCTCGCTGGCCACCGGCACCGGTGACGATAATTATTTGCACCCTAGTTCGGCTCAGCCTCAAATGAGTAGCTGGTGCGGTGTGTAAACATCGCCAATGGGGAGACAAAGGCGGCCGGGCGTGGTTTTGGCCACCCACCCCCTTCGTTTACCGTGCTCGCTCGCAGCACTTGCCCCAACCGTCTGTTACATCCATACGGGGGATCTTTGTCTTTGATTGTGGTAGATTGTTAATGGTGGTTGTTGGTGGTATTGGTTGGACTATATTGGTTTGATATTTAGAGCTGCTTTTAGCGTGTGTTCGTTTGTTGTCCTTCCACCGCACCTCCGATTAGCACCGTTGGCTACTTACGGTGCAAAATGAGTTCAACATTCACGCATTTAATTCGTGGTTAAACATCAAACCGGGGAGTCAACCCACGGCTCCCGGGTCTGTTCCGTGACCTCCTGCGAGCGAGCCTTCGACACTTCACGTGGCCTCAAAGTGCACCTAGCCTGGCACGAGCGCCGTGGTGACGTTACCGTCACGTGGTGGAATTCATATTGGTTGTGGTGCTGGTTGTTGTTGCGGTGGTGGTGTGGTGAGCGATAGACCGCATCTCCACCACGCCCCGCACACTCGATGTCTCGTGATCAATGGGAACAGATCCTTAAGCTGCCTCCTTCATCGAATTATCGCTCGCAATCAAGTTAATGAAGGCGTGGGGAGGGAGGGGGCTGAGTGGGCTGGGAGAGCCCCCACCCCCAATGTACCATCGATGTTTTTTGGAGAAAGAAAAAATCCGCGTTCAATGGTTCGTCTGCCCAACGTCACCATGCATCGTGTTTGTGTTTCGCAACGTGTTTTGTGTGTGTGTGTCTTCTATTGCGTGGTGCTGGCCACCCACCCCCTCGTGTGCCGTGCCTGCCTTTATAGGAGCTACTCGCTAACAGCACTTGGCCCAACAGTCTGTTACAGGCTATACGGGGGGCCTTTGTTTTTGTTTCGTGTGTCCTGTATCACGAGTGTGTGCATTTAACAGTGTTTGTGTTGAATGTAATGTGTTTTATAGTGGTTGTTAACATCGTGTGTTCGTAAAGTGTGTGTGTGTAGAATAGGGGGAGAACACGCAGAAAGGCACCCGGGTCGGTAATCAAACCCAGGCCCGTCTTGCTGTGAGGCGCGAGTATTACTACTGTGCCCTAAATCTAAAGGGGAACCAAGGGAATCGTCTCCTCGAGCCGTCCTGTGCATCTGATGCCCACGTGCCGTAGGCCACTCACACAGGACGCGGAGTCGAATCGAGGCGTTCCTTTCTCCGAAGGGGTTATAGGCCACGCACGTGACCACCGCTCCGTCCTGCTCGGCGGAGACGTTAAGGAGGAGGAGCGTAGAGGTGGAGGAGTTCTCCGAGGAGGTTCTGGAGATGGTGAACGAGGAGGAGGACGAGGTGGTGGAGGAGGAGGTGGAGAGGATTTTGCCCAGTCCAGAGATCCCGAATGTCTGGGGTATAAATTATGAGAAGGTGAGATCGGTCTCTTGATTTCATACGAGACTAACTCAGCCAAACCCCAAGCCTAGCCCTAACCACAGCTGTAAACCTAGTCCTAACTCTAACCCTAGTCCTAACTCTAACCCTAGTCCTAACTCTGACCCTAGTCCTAACTCTAACCCTAGTCCTAACTCTAACCCTAGTCCTAACTCTGACCCTAGTCCTAACTATAACCCTAGTCTTAACCCTAGTCCTAACCATAGCTATAATGGCCGCTCCTGCGGCCGTCTGGAACGCTCTTCCTTCCGATATTAGGAGGCCACTGGCGCTATTTACTTTCAAATAATCCAGATTGAAAACTAATTTATTTCAAACTGTTTTTTGTGTTTAGTTTTCTGTCCTTCCTCCGCACCTCCGATTATCACGGTTGGCTACGTACGGTGCGAAGGAAGTTCAACATACATACATAACAATGGCAATAATCACTCAAATATGAACCTAGTCCTTACCTCTAGCAATAGCCCAAGCCATGAATAGGCCTGGCACTCACTCGCCCTCATCACGAACCGCGCCCTGTCACGAGCCTTAACCCCGACCCTTACAATAAATGACTTGATTGTAAACCCAGCCCTACCCTTACTCATGCACCGAGCACTAACCCTGGCCCGAACTATAGACAACCCGGCTCTAACCCTGGCCATAAGCCTCGCCCTTTTGCTCGCTGTGCCAAGCTAGGTGCACCCTGGGCTCCCGGTCTCACACACACACACAGACACGCGTACGTGAGTGCTCAGCGCCGACTGGTCCCAGGTGAGGATGGGGGAGGGGCGCGCACGGGAGACGCACGTGAGCTCAGCCTCCTCGCCCTCCCTCACCGCGCCGCCTCCAGCCCAGCGCAGCTCCACCGAGGAGGGCTCCTCCTGGCCTGCACGAGACAGCGGAGGAAGCGACGCTCACACGGTGCGCCAGGTCGCAGTGGCGTGCAGAGGAGTCGTAGCGGACCTGGTTGCCTGCCGCTCGAATGAACGTCGGCGTGGAGCCAGTGGCAGGAATTCCTCATTCCTATGGCGGGTGGTGAGTGGCTCCGCAGGACAACTATTGTTGACTTCCCCCCCACAAAGTGGTACTTGTTTTATCGCCTGCAGAGGGATGATTTATCTGAACTCGCAGCCCACCGATTGCGAACCGCTTGCTCTACCGCTGAGCCACCCGGCCGGAGGAAGGGGATTGACGACTCATTGAAGATTGTTCGGGCCCTCCACCCCAACCCCCCACCCCAACCCCCGCCAAATATTTTCGCCACGGTCTCCAACCAACTCCCTCGTTAAGAGACCAATCGAGCTGCGTTAGACGCTGCACGCGCCCTTAAACAAAGACAAAGATCCCCCGTAAAGCCTTTGCAGAATGTTGGGCCAAGTGCTGTTAGCGAGCAGCACCTATGAAGTGTGGGGGCGGTCACCCTGGAGCGTACTGAGCGGATGAGGCAGGGCACGTACCGCACAGCTCCCTGGAGGGGCTCACGGACTCCCGGCTGGAATTCCCTGCACCACCACCTCCTCCCGCGGCTGCTGCCGCCGTCGCTTCTTCCTCCCCGCAGTGGGAGTGGAACTCCCCGCTGTGGGGGAGGAGCAGGGCCACCCCCGCCATGGCGCGCAGCCACGACAACTGACAGGTGCAGGCCAGCGGGTTCCCTCTCACCGTTCTGATCCCGGTAGGGAGATGGGCGGGGGTAGGATTACCGGGGGCAGATAGGTGAGAGGTACACGGGAGGGACACGGCAGGTACGTGTTTTAGATGGCGTGCGGCTAAGCTAGGCGGGAGCCGTAGGAGTGCGACGGGCAGGGGGAGGAGAATTCCTGAGGCCGGTATGGCGAGGGGAGGCTGTCAGGGCAGACCGTGGCGGTCTCGAGTCTCTCTGCCGTGCACGAGCGACGGAATCTGGCGGAGGGGAGAACGCGTGGGCGAGGTGGTGGTGGTGGCGGCTACGGCGTTACCCATCGTGCCATCTTGTGATCTTCAAGAGATATAAGACGGGGAAAAATATATCAGAGGTACAAGGAAGGAGAGTTTATCATTAGTTCGAGATATAATGTAAATATTGGAGATGAGCGATATCAAGAATATTTAGCAGGGCCACGAGCTAAATCTACGGTAGGAGATTTGGCGCAACTGCGCTCGAGACTGTGACACGAATTCGACTCCCGGCGACGGCTAACATCAGTGGCTAGCGTTCCGTGAGCGGTTCCTGTCTTTTTGTGTTAAATCACGGCTACCGGAGCACAGAGCAAAGCCGCCAGTAACCCGCACTGCCCACCGTGGTGAAGTTTGGTCGAAAGACCGCCTACAGCCAACACGGAAGTCGGTCTTCATCCAACAGCGGTTTGACAATGGGCTGTACAATATGAAAAAAAAGAATAGGTTTTACCGCTTCTGGTAATACAACAGGTGTTAAGATGTTCAAACACCAGATAGACACCAATTGTCAAGACATCAAGTCTACATTAACCACACACATACTCGTGGTGAACATGCAAACAAGCATGTTCTGACAATATTTGATTCCTTGCTAAAAGGTTTCAATTTGGTGTTTTAACACCTGCTTTATTGCCAGAAAGGGTGAAGCCTCGACTCTTATTTTTCATACTTTGATACTGGCACAAAAAGATTCCACGATGGGCTGTACAATATTTGTTATTTTTACAATTCTATCGCATGTGTGCATGATTTTTTTTGGGGGGGGGGTGATTTAGGGGGGTGGGGGAGGTCAAGATTGTGGGGGGTCTGACACGAGTGGTAAGAGAGAGAGGGGGGGGTGAGTGGGGGGTCATTGTTGGGGTTATGGGATGGAGCGGCCGGCGCAGGTTTCAGACGCATTCCGAGCTGGACTGGAGTTGATGAATCTGCCTGTCGGGTAGGAAATGTTCGCGCCCTGGTGCGTGGAGGGCAGCCCTCCATAAAGATTAACTGCCGTGTGAAGTCATTGCTCACACGCGACGTGTACACACACACGTGCACACACACACACATGTACACACACACACGTACATACACACACACGTACACACACGCGCGTACACACACGCGCGTACACACACGCGCGCGCACATACGTGTCCATACACCGGCTCAGATTTCACTCGCCACTGATGTTAGCCGTGACCGGGAATCGAACTCGGTGTAAAGCCACTGCTGTCACCGCTCCCCACACACGCGCGCACGCACACACACGCGCACACACACGCGCACACACACGCGCACGCACACATACACGCGCACACACGCACGCACACATACACACGCGCGCACCCACACACACGCGCGCACCCACACACACGCGCGCACCCACACACACACGCGCGCACCCACACACACACGCGCGCGCGGAGGCACGCACTGAGACACACGCACGCACAAGACTACATACGTACTCATGATGCACAACACATACACAGAGTTGAATGAGTAGCCGGCACGGTGTTTAAACATCAGCGTTGGGCAGACAAAAGGCGTGGTGCTGGCCACCCACGGCCTCGTGTGCCGTGCCGGCCCTTCGGAGGGGCTCGTTGACAGCGCTTGTCCCCAATACTCTGGTAGAAAGGCTACCCGGGTGTTGTGGGTTTTTTGTGTCTTTGTGGTGCCAAGTCCCGGGATTGAACTCACAGACGGGAAAGGTGGAGGCCGTGCAGGGCGGCCCAGGGCAAGGAGCTCAGGTTGTTGGCGGAGACGTCTCTGCGGGTTGGAGACGCGAGAGACGATTAATACCCTCGGGGAAATCAGGGGCGAGTGCGCGCACAGACCCGGACACGTATTGGGTGTGTGTGTCAGTCGCTTTGTGCGTCAATGTCCGTGAGTGTGTCAGGCGTGGTGCTCTCCACCTATCCCTCGTGTGCCGTGCCGGCCTTCATAGGTGCTCGCTAACAGCACTTGCCCCGACAGTTTGTTAAGGCTATACGGGGGATATTTGTGTATATTGTGGGGAGCACAGGTGGTGCATCGGCCAGCTAATCCCGTCAAGCCATGTCACCTGGGTGTGTCCCGTGATATCCTGCCGGCCAGCCTTCGACACTTGACGTGGCCTCAGGGTAATACCAGGGTAGTACCTAGCCTGGCACGGGCGCCGTGGTGACGTCACGGCGGTTGTGTTTTTTTTTGTGGGGAACGGTAGTGCAGTGGTTAGAAGACGAATCCCGCTAATGGCCAACATCTTACAGGACGCTACTGGGCAGTTTGCGTTCATTTTATGGCTGGGATTAGGGTCAGTGTTCTAACACTGACCCTAATCCCAGCCATAAAAGGGTCGGTGTTAGGGTTAGAGTCGGTGTTCGTGTTAGCGTCAGTGTTACGATCAGTGATAGTGTTAGGACCAGTGTTGTGGTGAGTGTAAGTGTCGGATAAGTCTCACATGCTCTGTAGCTCCGTGTTGAGTTGGAAGGCTCTCGGGGAGACGGAGCGCAGTCCTGATGCCACGATGGATCTGACGGAGAGCGGAGATAGCCAGAGAGAGAGAGAGAGTCGTGGACGTATTCAAAGAGAGAGAGACTCAGTAATAGAATCACAGAGGCAGCCATCGAGTGAGCGTCAAGCGATTCAACAATTTAAACGGAGTCAGAGTCAGAGGCTGACATGTTCCGAGAGAGTCGGAGAATCAGAGAGAGTCACGTCACAAGTCAGGGAGAGAAATAGCGAATCCCAGAGAGTCAGAGACACTCGCGTAAGAAGTCACAGGGCGTCACAGAGAGAGTCATATAGAGCGTCACAGAGAGTCATATAGAGCGTCATAGAGAGTCATATAGAGCATCACAGAGAGTCATATAGAGCGTCATAGAGAGTCATATAGAGCGTCACAGAGAGCGTCATATAGAGCGTCACAGAGAGTCATAAAGAGCGTCACAGAGAGTCATATAGAGCGTCACAGAGAGTCATATAGAGCGTCACAGAGAGTCATATAGAGCGTCACAGAGAGTCATATAGAGTCATAGAGAGTCATATAGAGCGTCACAGAGAGTCATATAGAGCGTCATAGAGAGTAATATAGAGCATCACAGAGAGTCATATAGAGCGTCACAGAGAGTCATATAGAGCGTCACAGAGAGTCATATAGAGCGTCACAGAGAGGCATATAGAGCATCACAGAGAGTCATATAGAGCGTCAAAGAGAGTCATAGAGAGCGTCACAGAGAGTCATATAGAGCGTCACAGAGAGAGTCATATAGAGCGTCATAGAGAGTCATATAGAGCATCACAGAGAGTCATATAGAGCGTCACAAAGAGAGTCATATAGAGCGTCATAGAGAGTCATATAGAGCATCACAGAGAGTCATATAGAGCGTCACAGAGAGAGTCATATAGAGCGTCATAGAGAGTCATATAGAGCATCACAGAGAGTCATATAGAGCGTCACAGAGAGAGTCATATAGAGCGTCACAAAGAGTAACATAGAGCATCACAGAGAGTCATATAGAGCGTCACAGAGAGAGTCATATAGAGCGTCACAAAGAGTCATATAGAGCGTCACAGAGAGTCATATAGAGCGTCACAGAGAGAGTCATATAGAGCGTAACAAAGAGTCATATAGAGCGTCACAGAGAGTCATAGAGAGCGTCACAGAGAGGCATACAGAGTCACAGAGAGTCATATAGAGCGTCACAGAGAGTCATATAGAGCGTCACAGAGAGTCATATAGAGTGTCATAGAGAGTCATATAGAGTGTCATAGAGAGTCATATTGAGTGTCATAGAGAGTCATATAGAGTGTCATAGAGAGTCGTATAGAGTGTCATAGAGAGTCATATAAAGCGTCACAAAGAGTCATATAGAGTGTCATAGAGAGGCATATATTGCGTCACAAAGAGTCATATAGAGCGTCAAAGAGAGTCATATAGAGTGTCATAGAGGGTCATATAGAGCGTCAAAGAGAGTCATATAGAGCGTCACAGAGAGTCATATAGAGCGTCACAGAGAGTCATATAGAGCGTCACATAGAGTCATATAGAGTGTCATAGAGAGTCATATAGAGTCATAGAGAGTCATATAAAGCATCACAAAGAGTCATATAGAGCGTCATAGAGAGTCATATAGAGCGTCACAGAGAGTCATATATAGTGTCACAGAGAGTCATATAGAGCGTCATAGAGAGTCATATAGAGCGTCACAGAGAGAGTCATAAAGAGCGTCATAGAGAGTCATAGAGAGTGTCATAAAGAGTCATATAGAGCGTCATAGAGAGTCATATAGAGTCACAGAGAGTCATATAGAGTGTCACAGAGAGTCATATAGAGCGTCACAGAGAGTCATAGAGAGCGTCACAGAGAGTCATATAGAGCGTCACAGAGAGTCATATAGAGCATCACAGCGAGTCATATAGAGCGTCACAGAGAGTCATATAGAGCGTCACAGAGAGTCATATAGAGTGTCATAGAGAGTCATATAGAGTATCATAGAGAGTCATATAGAGCGTCACAGAGAGTCATATAGAGCGTCATAGAGAGTCATATAGAGCGTCACAGAGAGTCATATAGAGTGTCATAGAGTCATATAGAGTGTCACAGAGAGTCATCTAGAGTGTCATAGAGAGTCATATAGAGCGTCACAGAGAGTCATATAGTGCGTCACAGAGAGTCATATAGAGTGTCACAGAGAGTCATATAGAGTGTCATAGAGAGTCATATAGAGCGTCGCAGAGAGTCATATAGAGCGTCATAGAGAGTCATACAGAGTGTCACAGAGAGTCATATAGAGCATCACAGAGAGTCATATAGAGCGTCATAGAGAGTCATACAGAGAGTCACAGAGAGTCATATAGAGCGTCAAAGAGAGTCATATAGAGTGTCATATAGAGAGAGTCATATAGAGAGTCACAGAGACTCATATAGAGCGTCATAGAGAGTCATATAGAGCGTCACAGAGAGTCATATAGAGTATCAAAGAGAGTCATATAGAGCGTCACAGAGAGTCATATAGAGCGTCGCAGAGAGTCATATATAGTGTCACAGAGAGTCATATAGTGTCATAGAGAGTAATATAGAGCGTCATAGAGAGTCATATAGAGTGTCATAGAGAGTCATATAGAGCGTCACAGAGAGTCATATATAGTGTCATAGAGAGTCATATAGAGTGTCGCAGAGAGTCATATATAGTGTCACAGAGAGTCATATAGTGTCATAGAGAGTAATATAGAGCGTCATAGAGAGTCATATAGAGTGTCATAGAGAGTCATTTAGAGCGTCATAGAGAGTCATATAGAGCGTCATAAAGAGTCATATAGAGCGTCACAGAGAGTCATATATAGTGTCACAGAGAGTCATATAGAGCGTCACAGAGAGTCATATAGAGCGTCACAGAGAGTCATATAGAGTGTCATAGAGAGTCATATAGAGTGTCATAGAGAGTCATATAGAGCGTCACACAGAGTCATATAGAGTGTCATAGAGAGTCATATAGAGTGTCACAGATAGTCATATAGAGCGTCATAGAGAGTCATATAGAGTTTCATAGAGAGTCATATAGAGTGTCACAGAGAGTTATATAGAGCGTCACAGAGAGTCATATAGAGCGTCACAGAGAGTCATATAGATTGTCATAGAGAGTAATATAGAGTGTCACAGAGAGTCATATAGAGCGTCATAGAGAGTCATATAGAGCGTCATAGAGAGTCATATAGAGCGTCACAGAGAGTCATATAGAGCGTCATAGAGAGTCATATAGAGCGTCATAGACAGTCATATAGAGCGTGACAGAGAGTCATATAGAGCGTCACAGAGAGTCATATAGAGCGTCACAGAGAGTCATATAGAGCGTCACAGAGAGTCATATAGAGCGTCATAGAGAGTCATATAGAGCGTCATAGAGAGTCATATAGAGCGTCACAGAGAGTCATATAGAGAGTCATATAGAGCGTCACATAGAGTCATATAGAGTGTCACAGAGAGTCATATAGAGTGTCACAGAGAGTCATATAGAGTGTCACAGAGAGTCATATAGAGTGTCATAGAGGGTCATATAGAGCGTCAAAGAGAGTCATATAGAGCGTCACAGAGAGTCATATAGAGCGTCACAGAGAGTCATATAGAGCGTCACATAGAGTCATATAGAGCGTCATAGAGAGTCATATAGAGTCATAGAGAGTCATATAAAGCATCACAAAGAGTCATATAGAGCGTCATAGAGAGTCATATAGAGCGTCACAGAGAGTCATATATAGTGTCACAGAGAGTCATATAGAGCGTCATAGAGAGTCATATAGAGCGTCACAGAGAGAGTCATAAAGAGCGTCATAGAGAGTCATAGAGAGTGTCATAGAGAGTCATATAGAGCGTCATAGAGAGTCATATAGAGTCACAGAGAGTCATATAGAGTGTCACAGAGAGTCATATAGAGCGTCACAGAGAGTCATAGAGAGCGTCACAGAGAGTCATATAGAGCGTCACAGAGAGTCATATAGAGCATCACAGAGAGTCATATAGAGCGTCACAGAGAGTCATATAGAGCGTCACAGAGAGTCATATAGAGTGTCATAAAGAGTCATATAGAGTATCATAGAGAGTCATATAGAGCGTCACAGAGAGTCATATAGAGCGTCATAGAGAGTCATATAGAGCGTCACAGAGAGTCATATAGAGTGTCATAGAGTCATATAGAGTGTCACAGAGAGTCATCTAGAGTGTCATAGAGAGTCATATAGAGCGTCACAGAGAGTCATATAGTGCGTCACAGAGAGTCATATAGAGTGTCACAGAGAGTCATATAGAGTGTCATAGAGAGTCATATAGAGCGTCACAGAGAGTCCTATAGAGTGTCATAGAGAGTCATATAGAGCGTCGCAGAGAGTCATATAGAGCGTCATAGAGAGTCATACAGAGTGTCACAGAGAGTCATATAGAGCGTCATAGAGAGTCATATAGAGCGTCACAGAGAGTCATATAGAGTGTCATAGAGAGTCATATAGAGCGCCACAGAGAGTCATATAGAGTGTCACAGAGAGTCATATAGTGTCATAGAGAGTCATATAGAGCGTCATAGAGAGTCATATAGAGTGTCATAGAGAGTCATATAGAGCGTCACAGAGAGTCATATAGAGCGTCATAGAGAGTCATATAGAGTGTCAAAGAGAGTCATATATAGTGTCATAGAGAGTCATATAGAGTGTCAAGAGAGTCATATAGAGCGTCATAGAGAGTCATATAGAGTGTCATAGAGAGTCATATACAGTGTCATAGAGAGTCATATAGAGCGTCACAGAGAGTCATATAGAGCGTCACAGAGAGTCATATAGAGTGTCATAGAGAGTCATATAGAGTGTCATAGAGAGTCATATAGTGCGTTATAGAGAGTCATATAGAGCGTCACAGAGAGTCATATAGAGCGTCACAGAGAGTCATATAGTGTCACAGAGAGTCATATAGAGCGTCACAGAGAGTCATATAGAGCGTCACAGAGAGTCATATAGAGCGTCACAGAGAGTCATATAGAGCGTCACAGAGAGTCATATAGAGCGTCACAGAGAGTCATATAGAGCGTCATAGAGAGTCATATAGAGCGTCACACAGAGAGTAACGCGGAATTTCCAGGCTGCCCCACGTTCCCCTCCACCCAGGCAGCAGCAGTCGAGTCGCTCAACTCGTGAGCTCGTGGGGACCCCCACGGTGGTTGTGAGATGTTAACTCCCTCGCCTAGTATACAGGAGGTCGTGGGTTCGATTCCGACCCTGACGCCTGCTGCTGTATATTTGGAGTTTGCGTGTCTCCCTCTCTCTCATCATCATCACGGTGGCTAGGAGATGTTGACTACCTCGCTTGGTATACAGGAGGTCGGGGGTTCGATTCCGACCCTGACCCCTGCTGCTGTTTGCGTATCTGTCTCCCCGTGGTCGCGTGGATGTTTCTCAGGGCCCTCCACATTTAGAACCACGCGCTTAGACTATATGTCTCCAATAAATGTGCACGTGACAAGCCACTTCGTTGACTTATCACTGGTGATAACCAGGTCGCTTCTGAAAACGAGCTATGAAGCTCAGCGGGGCCCTACCTGAGAAAATGTAATGATGAACGTCGTTGATAGGTAAGTAACGGAATCAATTTCTGCCGAATGACGGCGTAGGAAGAAGCGGCGGTGCCGAACGAGCGGAGATCCACGGCGGTCTCCTGCAACTCGACAACTCCATCGCTGTTGTCTTGCCAATTTGACCAAAGTTGCCGAACGGTTCGAGTCATGTTTGATTGTTTTGTATTATTATTATTGAGATGCGTGCCTCGTGTGACCTCTGTGTGCCTGCGACTGCGCGAGAGTCTTGGATTAGTTCCCCAGGGTTGGCTGTGCCCTTGTGCGCGTTCGAGTCCGTGTTGGTTGTATTGTTAGCGGCGTGGCGTGCCCCTCTCGCCTTGCGTCTCATCCGAGCCCCCCCTCCCGGCCCATCTCTACCACTCGGCGTGAATATCTCGACGCCTGGGTGTCTCTCTGTGCGGGTGGCGTCGCGGTTAGCGAGAGTTCGATTCCCGCTCACAGGCCACCGACTCCAGTGACGTTCATCTGAGCCGGTGCTGGGCCTCCCCTAGGTAGACTCAGCCTGAACTGAGTACCATGTAAAGATCGCCGCTAGGGAGACAAAGGCGGCCGGGCCATAGTGCTTGGCTACCCACCCCCTCGTGTACCGTGCCGCGGTCTTCATAGGTGCTCGCCACACTTGCCCCAGCAGTCCGTTAAGTCTGCACGGGGGATCTCTGTCTACATGTGTAGACTATGAATGTTCTCTGCGCGCAATGAATGTGTAGCCTACGTATTGTCCGTGATCTGTGTAGACAAGGCAAAGGCGCAGCCCTGCAATTTCTTATTGGCGGAACGGCCTCCACTTCGACAGACCTCTACAGAGCCCTTACAAATATAGGCCGTGTACACGATACCCACGTGTACAAGATACCCACGTGTACAAGATACCCACGTGTACAAGATAGATACCCACGTGTACAAGATACCCACGTGTACAAGATACCCACGTGTCCCTCTATAGCCACCCGTGTACAAGATACCCACGTGTCCCTCTATAGCCACCCGTGTACAAGATACCCACGTGTACAAGATACCCACGTGTACCTCTATATCCACCCGTGTACAAGATACCCACGTGTGCAAGATACCCACGTGTACACGATACCCACGTGTACACGATACCCACGTGCCCCTCTATATCCACCCGTGACTAATGTGTGGTAGGCTGGAGTACTTTGCACGCCACTTTACTCGCGAGAAACGTGGTGAGGTGAGTAAACGATGTGGTGTGCCGAGTGTCACAGTATTTTCCCTGGTCGGCTTTCCGGACACACCTCCTTGAAGTAATGCCATGTGCGTGTGTGTATGTATGAAATGTGTGTATCTATGTGTGTGTGTATGTATGAAATGTGTGTATCTATGTGTGTGTGTATGTATGAAATGTGTGTATCTATGTGTGTGTGTATGTATGAAATGTGTGTATCTATGTGTGTGTGTATGTATGAAATGTGTGTATCTATGTGTGTGTGTATGTATGAAATGTGTGTATCTATGTGTGTGTGTGTATGTATGAAATGTGTGTATCTATGTGTGTGTGTGTGTATGAAATGTGTGTATCTATGTGTGTGTGTATGTATAAAATGTGTGTATCTATGTGTGTGTGTGTATGTATGAAATGTGTGTATCTATGTGTGTGTGTATGTATGAAATGTGTGTATCTATGTGTGTGTGTATGTATAAAATGTGTGTATCTATGTGTGTGTATGTATGAAATGTGTGTATCTATGTGTGTGTGTGTATGTATGAAATGTGTGTATCTATGTGTGTGTATGTATAAAATGTGTATATCTATGCGTATGTGTGCCGGTGTGTATATGGGGAACGGTAGTGCAGTGGTTAGCGCGCTGTGCCACGAACCCGGCGTCCCCAGTTCGAGTCCTGAGCCTCCTCTTAGTTGACTCAGCCTTAAATGAGTATCTGGTGCGGTGTATACACATCAGTACTGGAGAGACAAAGGCGGCCGGGCGTACTGTTGATCACCCACTCGCTCGCGTGCTTTGCCATCCTTCATAGGTACTCGCCGAGAGCACTTAGCAGTCTGTTGTAAGGCTATTTGGGGGGGGTAGTTGTCCTCGTGTTTATGTGTGTGTGTGTGTCCCCGTATAAAGCTCAGCTCTGTATGTCTGTGTCCACCCGTGTGTTCGCGAGTTAATCGCCGGGTCTGCGCGGTCACTCACAGCTCCCGCAGGTGAGGAAAGCTCCCCAGGTCTCCCTCCGCCAGCTCTCCCAGCTCCGTCTGGTTGTGGATTATTCTGAACGAGAAGAGCAGCAGCAGCAGCAGAAGCAACAGCGCAGAGGAGACCATTTAGGCTGAGTCGACCTCGGGGAAGTGTCATGATAACTTTAGATAGAGCGCTCGCCACTGCTGTCAGTCGTGGCAGGGGAATATACAATTGCTGATGAGACCCAGAAGGTCGAAACCGGTCCAGAGTGTGCCCCGCGTAAACGCAGGCCGCGGGGCCGATGGACTGGATCCCCACGGCCTTGTGTGAACGTGTGAGAAGCATGGCAGGACGGAGTCCGGTGGAGAGCGGTGGTGCAGCGGTTTGGCGCGGTGCGTGACGAACCTGGCGACCCGAGTTCGATTCTCGCTCATGGCCAAAAACACCAGTGACGATTGTTTGTTGTTCCGGCCTTCATGGGTGCTCGCTAACAGCGCTTGCCCCAACAGTCTGCTCAGGCTATACGGGGGATCTTTGTCTTTGGAATCCATCGACATCCGCCAGTGTACATCAACATTTGCGTGATGATGGAAAACAAGCGGACGCCTCTACCCATCAGCCCCGACCCGCAGATTTCTCGCATCCTATAGGTACCACTTCGTGGGTGAAATTCAGTGGTAGTTGTCCTGTGGATATACTCACCCCCGCCTCCACCCACCGCTATAACAATGTGGACCTTACACCACTCGCTTAGGGCCGTGATGAGCCCCGCATCACTGCGAATTTTGAACAGGAAATTAAATTTGAGTTGGCCGTCGAGAGGCAACAGTCGCCATATGGATCGACTGGTCACGGCATAGGAATGTTGAGTTTTAACTCTTGCATAACACTCACAAAAGCCATTGCCTACCAATACAATATCATTACACCAGCGGTGCGCTAATCACTGCGCCACTGCTCACCCATACAAAGACTCAACGCCGTTATAGACTGTAGGTGCAAGTGTAGTTCGTGAGCTCCTATTCAAGGCGGGTACGTCACGCGACACATTGCGATATCGGCACCTGAGTTCGATTCCCTGCCAGTGGGATACGGCGGCCTGTCCGAGTTACACGTGCCTCCCCTAGATCCACTCAACCTTAAATTAGTAATAGATGCGATGTGTGAAGGTTAGCGCTAGGGGAGACAAAGGCGGCCCTCACTTTTTTTTGGTAACATCCACTTCTGGACACGAATTTTCCGACCCGTTGCAGGTCATGGGGGTTAGTTGGATTTACAGAGAAATCATTGACACCAATGCATGCAGTCCACATGGTGATCACGATGCACGTGTTCCCTCGCTGGGAGATAATTTACACCGAGCGTGAACGTGATGACTCACGTGCAAGCAAGCTCAGGATAACGAGGACTGACGGGACCAAGAGGCACACCCAGGCCGCCTTTGTCTCTCCCGGACAATGCTGACGTTCGCATACCGCACCGCGCAGCCAAACTAATGTACCACTGAGTCGACCTAGAGGAGGCCCACGACGGGGGTAAATCAACGTGAGCGGCCGCATTAGTGAACATCTATCGCCGTGCGCCCACGTGCGCCGTAACCTTTTGCGGGTACGAGTCCGCCTCCCGGCACCGGTTCTTACATGCGCGTGATGTTGTCTGCGTGACGCCAGCGCTCTTGCTCCCGTTCCATCTCCTCCTCCTCCTCCTCCTTCTCGCCATAGTGGTCCTCTTTCCCCCCATCCCCATCGTACTCGTCGTCGTCGTCGTCGTCATCAGCGTCTCCATCCACTGCTCGCCACGCGTTCGTGAGCTGTCGCACCGCGCTGATGGCGCCGGGCGCCGTGCAGGAGATGGAGCCGAGGTCGCAGCGGCAGAGTCGCGGGCAGCTCCCGGCGAGGGGAGCCGGCGCGGAACCCCGCGGGGATGCGGCCCCGGCGAGGAGGAGCGAGCAGCAGCAGCAGCAGCAGCAGGCGAGCAGCCAGTGGCGGAGGAGCGGCGAGTGGCTCCGCGTCTGGGGTCGTTCCATGGCGCGCTCGAAGTTGGCGGGGGGATGAGAGGGCTGGAGCGGAGTCGGACTTCTCTGCCTCGAACGCAGCACCCCCCCCCCCCCCCGTCTCGTAGCCAAGATCTCTGGGCTGTGACTCGGACCCAGACTAATGACCCTGCCTCCCACGTCTTATACCGAGGTGATACCTGGCCCAGAACCAAGACTACTAATGTCAGAGCCTATAGCCCTGGCTCGAATAGACTCGAAACCAGCCTCGATCCTTAATTCGTAGCCCGAACCCAAGATATAGATTAGACCTAGACTTGAACTAGACTTAGATCATCTGAGCCTAGACCCCGAAACCCAAACCCTGGCTCTAACCCAGGCCCAGATTCACACTTTAATCTCAAACCCAGATCCAGAATCAAACCCAGTTTCCCGGCTTCGTCGACTACAAATGAACTATCTCTCTCTCTGCGCGACCGTCAGCGATGCGAGGGGGTCCAAGGCGCTGCCTCCTACATCCCTGTGCAGCACAGCAGGTGCGTTGGGGGGGGGGGAGTCGGGGTGCGAGTGAGGGGGTCCCTAGGCTGAGACCCCGACGTGAGCGTCTCAGGGGCTCTCTGCGCCCTGGGGGCTCCTCGTGGTTCTTGGGTGCCCCAAGGGCGCGGGGCTTTGCGATCTCCCGGTCCCTGACTCCTGCTCCTTGCTCTGATCAGAGACGCCAGAGGCTCTGCGGGCAAAGGGGAGTCTAGGGGGCGGGTGTAGGGGGAGGGGTGGCTGGGGTGGTAATGGGTGAGGTTAGGGGCAGTGGTGGGTGTGGTGGTGGTGATGATGATGGCGATGGGTGGGATATGCTGGGTCGGTGGAAGATCTGGGGTATGCGCTTCGAGTGCGCGATGTTGGCTACGAGATTATGGTAAGAGATGCGAGTGTGGGATATGATGTGTGTGTGTAGAGTGGGATGATGTGTGTGTATAGAGTGGGATGATGTGTGTGTGTAGAGTGGGATGTTGTGTGTGTGTGTAGAGTGAGATGCTGTGTGTGTAGAGAGGGAGATGCTGTGTGTGTGTAGAGTGAGATGCTGTGTGTAGAGTGGGATGATGTGTGTGTGTAGAGTAGGAGATGATGTGTGTAGAGTGGGAAATGCTGTGTGGGTGTGTGTAGAGTGACATGCTGTGTGTGTGTAGAGTGAGATGCTGTGTGTGTGTGTAGAGTGAGATGCTGCGTGTGTGTGTAGAGTGAGATGATGTGTGTGTGTAGAGTGAGATGCTGTGTGTGTGTGTAGAGTGAGATGCTGTGTGTGTGTGTAGTGGGATGATGTGTGTGTGTGTAGAGTGAGATGATGTGTGTGTAGAGTGAGATGCTGTGTGTGTGTGTAGAGTGAGATGATGTGTGTGTGTGTGTAGAGTGAGATGATGTGTGTGTGTAGAGATGATGATGTGTGTATGTGTGTAGAGTGAGATGATGTGTGTGTGTGTGTGTAGAGATGATGATGTGTCTGTGTAGAGTGTGATGATGTGTGTGTGTGTGTGTAGAGGGAGATGATGTGTGTGTGTGCAGAGTGAGATGCTGTGTTTGTGTGTGTAGAGTGAGATGCTGTGTTTGTGTGTGTGTAGAGTGAGATGCTGTGTTTGTGTGTGTAGAGTGAGATGCTGTTTGTGTGTGTAGAGTGAGATGCTGTGTTTGTGTGTGTGTAGAGTGAGATGCTGTGTTTGTGTGTGTAGAGTGAGATGCTGTGTGTGTGTGTAGAGTGAGATGCTGTGTTTGTGTGTGTGTAGAGTGAGATGATGTGTGTGTGTAGAGTGAGATGCTGTGTCTGTGTGTGTGTAGAGTGAGATGTTGTGTGTGTGTGTGTGTCGAGTAGGAGATGCTGTGTATGTGTGTAGAGTGGGAGACGCTGGGTTCAGAGAGATAGATGCTGGGAGATGTAAATAATTAAATATGTATGGAGCGGTGGCGCAGGGGTTCATTGCGCGTTGTGAACCTCACAACCTGAGTTCAATTCCTGTCCACGGCCGACATCAGTGGTGCGTGATAACCATTGACGTGCGTCTTGGGCAAGGACCGGACCTCGCCATAGTAATGTGGAATTTTCACCATTGGCGCCGCCAGGAGGATGCTTTAAATAGTCATTGATGTTGTTTTGATCGCGGAGAGAAGAGTCGCGCAGCGGTTCGTGTATTGCTCTGTAAACCATGGTCACCCGAGTTAGATTCTCAGTCACGGCTCGCATCAGCGACGAGTGATATCTGAACCCGTCTTGGGCCCCCTCCTTCGCCAGCCAGCAGTGACCAGCGTGGTGAAGTATGGTCAATCAACCCCCAAGAGCGAGGCAGCGGAGACATTCATGCAGGATTGACTAGATCATGGTCTGTTCAAATATGTGTACTCGAATTGGAAATGTGGGTTTACTCTCCAACACACGGGTGCGCTGAACTTGTAACGAATTGGCATGTTTGGTTACTTGACAAACCTTACTAATCGGCTGTGTCGGGTGGTGGCTGGTTTAACGACACATTTATATTTACGCGATCTAACCCAATAAAGTCTATTATGGATATATACATTTTATTATTATTAACGGAATTAACATTGTATAATATAATATTAAAACAGACTAATTTAATTGAGTAACATTTGCACTTTCTGGACCGATGTGTATGACTAGTCGCCCTTGTCTCAGACTTTGCTGCTTATAAACGACGTGGTATTCTTCTTAAGATCCACGAAACATAAAATTGTGCCAAGAACTGCATCAGCATCGTGAGCCATGGCCTATCCACTGCTGGATGAGGACGTTTTCCTCTCCGTTGTCGCACCCATCACTCGGGCGACTGCGGCGGCCACGATCCATCATCTCACTCCTGCCGCATGGACTCACATTGATCGTAAAAACGAAAGAGAACTCCATTAAAGCATCCATCGAAAAGCCATCAATTAACCAAAAGGAGCTGCGACGAATAAAGTCGTATTTATAGAGGGAAGCCTCGCTGAGTCTCGAGACTTTTAGCGAGGTTAAAGGCGCCGCCCTGCAGTTGCTCGCTCACGCCACTGCTAGCGGAAGGGGGCTCCACCTTGGGGGGGGGGGGGGGGGGGCTCTGGTGAACCCACTACAGGGTACGTGGCCTCATCTTTCACGCTCGCCAGACGTCTTGCAATGGGTGGGAGTACCCACACTTTACCCCACCACACACGCGCACAACTTGCCGGTCTAGTAACTGTCGGGGAGGGCTTGCTGCTTGGCATATTTGGCCACTTCCTTTTTGAGTGGTTTGCATCGGCAATCCTCTGGGGGTAGATAAAATTGGTACCAGCACTTTATGGAACGTCAGTGGTTCGAGGTAATGGCCAGTGTCCTGTCCTGGCACAGGGTCCTAATCCGTCACGTCAGCTACCATCTATTATCCACTGCTGGATGAAGGCCGTTCTTCACCACGCCGTGATGCAACAATTCATCTCGCTCCTGCGATGATGAGCTGAGCTTCATCTTCGGGGTGGCTGTCCTCTTGGGCGTGTTCCCTCCTGTAAGAGTTATATTAAAAATGGGTGCCCTGGTTGCGAGATGTTTACTCTCTCGCCTGGTGTGCAGGAGGTCGTGGCTTCGATCCAGGCCTGCTGCTGCTGCTGTATATTTGGAGTTTGCGTCTCTCTCTCTCTCTCTCTGCGTGGTTGCGCGGATTGTTCTCCGTTTGTTCCCTCCACATTTAGAATCAACGTGCGTTTTGAGTATCTGGCCGCTGTAAATGTCCACGTGATGGTAGCCCACTGGGCTATCGTTTGTAATAGCCAGGTCGCTTCTGACAAAAAGCTATTTAGCTCAGTGGACCATGCCTGGTAATATAAGAAAGAGTTTATTGAATAAAAAAAATAGTTGGGCATACATATATAAATAAAATAGGCAACTTTTGAGACACCGTCCTTCTCCGTAGCATGTTCATGGGCCAGTGAGATAGGCGACATTTCGGGCAATGGCCCTTATTATTCATAACCCATAGAGAATTGCAACGCAACCGCTCTGGCCTCTCTATGTCCGAAACGTCGCCTGTTATGTTCGTTTTTTCGTTTACGGCCACAGTGTGATTGAGGAAAGCGTTGAGCTTTGTGTCGCGGATGAGATGCGAAACCTCCGATTAGCACGGTGGGCTACGTACGGTGCGAAGGAAGTTCAACACACGCACCTGTACATACGTACATGCGAAAGGAAGCCAGACCCACGCGATCATCCGAGTGAGGCGAGTTCGCTGAGCTGCTATCGCCCCCTCGTGGCCGAGAGAGTCACTCGCAGACTCAACACCAAGTGGCAACTCTCCAGGGTCGAACGCGTTCCACGGTTTTTCCTTTGGGTCAAATGTGGCGATTTCTTTTTAATGGTCAGGAGAGCTCATTTACTGACGGGCTAGAGCAGGGGTCACCAAACTACGGCCCGCGGGCCGGATGCGGCCCGCGACGTCAGTCCATCAGGCCCGCCGACGGTACTTGAATTTGGTTGATAAAACGTATGGAACATGAGACGTTGTGATACAATTTAAATATCTTGAAAGCCAAACGTCAGTTTCACTAATCTCACTAACCTTTTTGCTGCTTAGTTTGTGAGATTCGGATATGTGCACACTAGGTCTGATGTCACTATCTTTTTGCTAACGTCGCCTTCTTTGATAACTTTTTAGTAAATAAATATGTTGGTTGTCTTTGTTTTTTGTGCATTGCACGCCACTCACCCATGATTAACATGGAATGCTAAACTTAGTTTTTCGTCTTTTTTCCCCGAGCTTTCGTTCTGGCTTGCAAGTATTGAACAGAATGATTATGCGGCCCGCGCTCGTCATTCTTTCAGTTATCCGGCCCACTGTGAAAAAAGTTTGGTGACCCGCTCTGTGACAGAACTGAGAGGATGCTTCATCCTTTGGCGCAACGCTGATAGCGCCATCTGGATCAACATTTTGGAGAGAAAAAGAATGCCTTTTGAAAAGTGGCAAGGGACCCTTTTGTGTTCAATTATTTTATTAAATGTCATTGATTTCCTGCGACTGATGTCAACCTAATTCGCCAGGCTTGAGCCTGGTCCGTGATTGGATGGGTGCCCACCAACCAGGGCTTTTGCCAGGTGCTGTAGGCGGTGGACCTGAGAGGTGTGGCCAGGGTACGACGGTGCTGGGTGTCTCTCCCCTCGTGCACAGCGGCACGCCGCTGGGCTTTCTGCGGGGTCTCTCCGATGTGCCACCCAACAACGAAGCCAAACTCTCATGGCGCAAGCAATCGGTCAGACGGTCACCAATGAAGCAGGGACGCTTTCCTGCCTAAATAAGTGGGCAGTGCGTGAGCCAGGGTATCATTTCAGCCGGGCCTGTGTGGCTTCACTCGGCACCCCACATCCAGTATACCCCTTCTCGCTACGACCGCGGCTACTAGTCACGTGGCACAGACTCCAGTCGACCAGCGACCTGCGAAATGTTTCCGCAGCCGCCCGGCACATCACATCCAGTATACCTCAATGCGCGGCTACGTGTCTTGTGCCACCACGCGCTCTACGCTACCAGCGGCCCGCCAAATATTCGGTTTGGAAAAGTGAATCGACGCTGCGCGAATGAGCCCCGTGCCTTTCCCGGTACCCCCCCCCAACCCCCCCCCCCCTCGAGTCCTTCGGCTTGTGCCACGCGACCCGAACCCGAGCCAGCCCGCGCTCCATTAGCCGAGCCCCTCGGCCCGAGTCGTCATCGCGCCTGACCGCAAAAATCTCGAGCCGGCCACGGTTGTTGATGCGC